ACACGACAAGTTATGAGATGATGCTGTGCCGATCAAAATCTTTGAAATAACCTGGACAAGAGAAAAGCCCTATCCTATATGTTTCCGTCTTTGAAGTTTTGTTAAAGACCTACTTTTATTTAAAAGCCTTCTAATTATTTTGCTTGTTTTACCACATCACATTATAGTATATTTATGTGAATGCTATGCTCGAATTGATATTTAGTCTTTCCCGGGGACCTAAAGTGACGAGGTTTTCATTAACTTGTAATTAATGAATAGACTACAAAACTTGCAATCCAGTCTGCAAACATTACTTGTTGCTATGTCGGACAAGTTTTCAGGTTGCCAAGACCAACCTTTATTTAAAAAGTATGCATACAAATTTAATATGTTTATGGTGGCTCATTGGTTAGAGCGCCCGCCTCATGAACGGGAGGTCGTGGGTTCTAACCCCGGCCGAGTCATATCAAAGACTTATAACAATGGGACCTTCTGCCTTCTAGCTAGGCGCTCAGCATAATAGATTGGAGAAGGGTAGTAATAACATATTATGTTATGCAGGACCGCTGGAAGAGCAGTTTCATAACTGAAGTGGCTACCCTGGGTAAATAAAACGTTATTATTATTATTATTATTATTATTATTATTATTATTATTATTATTATTATTATTATTATTATTATTATTATTATTATTATTATAAACCGGTCTATTAAAAAGGCTATTGACCTTATTACCATACGTGTATGTGTATTTTTCTTCAATTTATCCGCCTAATCATCTCTGAGTTGTTGCTCACGATTTCAATTGAACTTTGTCCATGAGTCCCCTTTTCGAATCTGATGATTACACGTTTTTTTTGTGTTAGGCTATTAAGACTATTGTTTTAGGGTGATGCTGTTGTTTTCCGGGGAAATGGTGGTGTCAACATCTTGAACTTTGAAGTTTATATAAGAAGAAAAAAATAGGAAAAGACTATTTGTATACTTGAAGATTCTTTTACTCTTCTGCTTAGTATACAAACATAAATATTACTGAATAATTTCATATTTCAAAAGCTTGTAAGAACGATATCTTAGTCCTAAGAATAAGCTTCATATGAGAAACTAAACATTGTATTGATATGAAATTTAGAGTCGAAATATCAAATTTCATAATTATTCTTAGATATCATACTCATAAAGAGCCTATGCTGATCTCGCATGGTGTCATAATTAATTGTTTGTCTTGTCATTCTTACACATTTTTACATGTTTTGTAGTGATACATCATGTTTGATCTTGAACATAGGGGCACCGTCTTCTTCAAAGTTCAAAGTTCCTTTTATTTTTAATGTAAACGTATGACGTATGTTTTCTTCTCGTTTCAAATAGACAACAGTATTATTCACAAGAACGTAACAAAATTATACAAAGATGGATGTGATAAATTTCATACAAAACATTTCTTTACGCATTCTTTACAATGGTATAATAAGACATCACAACAATAACATTGATCAGGAAATTCAATCAATCTGGTTGAACTTTACAGATCGAATAAAGTACTTTAAATAATCGAGAAGAAGTGAGAGAAACATAGGTGAATGATTTTACTAATAGGCATAGCTTGTATCTTAAAGACTTTCACAGTAGTAAACAAATATAAGCTTTTTAGTTCCCACACTTTACCCATGCATTAGCATACGGACACGATTTCGCTAGGGGCTGACCTCTCTCGCCAAAACTGTAAATTCACATTTTCCCCCTAAATTTCGGGAGCGAGCCATGCGAGTGAGCAAAAGTTTTGAAACTTCATTACAGTTGCACAGGAGTGTTGTGACTTCATTGAAATATAGTATAGAAGATGTGAAAATTACAACTAGAATACCTCGCTGCTTGGATAAAAGGTGACGGTGTCCCGAATGAATAAAAATATTGGGTATTCAATTACCAATATTGAGAAAATCATATATTTTGGAATTCTCTTTAACGGTTGTTTAAAAGAATCAATGAATCTCGCAAATATACGTGACTGCTTAAAAGAAAAATGCAAGATAGATGAGGATTTTGGATCTCGAAGACCTATTGGTACTCATACCCAAGACATAAATTTGACGATGCCTGCAAAATACCGGAGCGATTTCAGATCCGCGGGGTTTGGGGGGGGGGGGGGAGCGCAGAGGACTATTGCCCTCCTTGCAAATATCATAGTTTTACCTTATTTACATACCACCAGATATATATACCCCTGATTGTCCCCCCACCAATTTTAGGGCCCCAAATGAACTTACCAATATTAAATTATAATATTTACATTTTGGTGCTTGTCAAAGACTTATCAACATATCGGACTTGCCCCCCCCTACTTTTCATGAGAGAATTTTGGAGTCGCCACTGTATATAACGTAAAAAGCTATTATGGAGAACAATGCCATCTTCAAATAAACCTTTGATTTCCAGCTTGTTTCGGTATATACATACATATAAAAAGTAACGGATTTAAAATGCTTTCGCCGAAGTGACAGAGTTTGCATATTCGACAAAGAAAGCATACAGATAACCAATATTTGGAACAGCTGATTTCAATGGTGCTTTATTGACAGTGCAGTGTCTCAAACAAAAATAAACAGCTCAACGAGATCACACTTGTTAGCCTCTTTTCCACTCGGTAGGGTGTCCTTAATTGGCGGCATACCAAGTGGAAAAAAGAAGGGAAAAAAATCAAGAACGAAACAAAACGTTTAGATGTCCCTGGAACATTTTAAATGCAGGATAGAGTTTGGGGGCTCTTGGACCATCCCCCCCCCTCAAAAAATGAATAAAATGAAGCATTACATTAATTTTGCTGATACCCGCACACCGCCTCTTGTGTCAAATGTTGGGAAATACGTATTATGGGGACCGTTTACCTTGGCGACTTGAGCTGTCTGAAATGTCATTAATCAAAAACGAAATAACATATAATACTATAAATACGGAATACAAATATTTAACGGACTTACAAGAAAAGTATTACGGAAAGGTAAAATACAGAAATGATAAGCTGCCTGGAGAGAAGGCAATCTAAGGTTAACATGACCTATTGTATGCAAATTAACAGACCAACTTGATAACACACGCGCTCAAACACATTACTTGATCGCACAGGAGGATTGTGATGAAAATAACTATAATTATGGGAAGTATTGATATAATTTGTTGACAAACAAGATAAAGTAGGATATAAAAAGTAATATTGAAAGAAGGAAAGAGATAAAGAGAGAGAAAGAAAAAAAAAGGGGGGGGGGGGGGTGGCAGATAGAATGAAACGTAGAGGGGGCTAGACTGCCGTGAATTGTGACAGGTAAGCTGTTACGAAATTCCTTTTTATCTGTTGATGAATGTATATATATTATCCCCTGTCTCCTTTTGTTGTTCTCTCTCTCTCTTTCTCTTTTTTTCTCTCTCTCTTTCTCTCTTTCTACCTCTATCCCTTGCCTGTGCGCGCGCGTGTGTGTGTGTGTTTGTCTGTTTCCCCCCTTTTGTCTCTCTCCTTGTCTCTCCTTGTCTCCCTTCCTCTGTTTCTTGGTCTACTTTCCTCCTCTATCTCTGGTTCCGGGGCGACGGAGCGCCTTTCGAAATGGGGTCACCAACAAAAAGGGCACTTTCTAGCGGGAAAAAGGGGCACATACAAAGGGTAACTTCAAAGCACAAAATTACAAATTTTAAACATTGTACAATATACATGTATACACCCGTACAAGATTAGTCCAAAGTACTGCTTCAACACTTTGCTGTTGAGTGTGATGGTCTGAATATTTGTTTGCGATCAGGTGAAGCTAGCGAGCAAAAAAATAAAAATATTTCAAGATTTTTAAGGTCACATTGCGACCGAATAATTATCATTATTAGATGAAACAGCCAATCTGATGGGGTATTAAGCACAGTTTCATAAGGTAAGAATGAATGTGACCTTCAATATGTTAGATAATGAGATAATCTATAGATTACCAACTTTGAGGAAATTTGAGAAAAACTACTCGTACTCGCTTTAAATTATGGGCACATGTTAGGGAGGCTATGAAAAATCTATTGTTTCTGGGGAGATGAGGGATAATAGCAAAATATTTTCATAGCACGTATGGTAAATATGTCTGTCTTTTGACATTTTGTAAATATAAATGCAGTTGCCCTAAGTTTGAGATTTCCTACGTTGCTGTAAACCTATATTTATTCTTAAACAAAGGGCAATTTATCGATACCTTGACATTCTATGAAGTTCAACAGGACAAGGGGTTTAAAGAATGATGGTTGAAAATAACTCTTTTAGAGTAAAATATGCCGTGTTAGTTTAAAGGTAAAAACGTTTTTAAAATTACAAAAGGGCACACTTCTTATATATCATGAGCAGGTTCATTTGATAGTTTTGAAAACGAGCACAATTCTAAAAGGTGCACAGTTCGTTTTTGTAAAATTTCCGGTACAAGCCTATCAGAAAGGGGTCCTTACATGTATGAGAAGGGACACTAATTAGAAGGGCGTTTATTAGAAAGACAAATGTACATTTTTCCTACGTAAAAGGGGCACTTGGGGGTACTTGAAAAAGGAGAAAGGGGAATACTTAAGATTTATATATACATTAAAAAGAAGTGAATGTTCATGATTTTTCCGAATAGATACGACATATTATTTTGATGAATTGTATAGTGTATTGGAAAAAAAACACCACACCCTAAAAGAATGATCTCCTTCTCGTCACCACACCCTAAAGGAATGATCTCCTTCTCGTCACCACACCCTAAAGGAATGATCTCCTTCTCGTCACCACATCCTAAAGGAATGATCTCCTTCTCGTCACCACACCGTAAAGGAATGATCTCCTTCTCGTCACCATACCCTAAAAGAATGATCTTATTCTCGTCACCACACCCCAAAGGAATGATCTCATTTTCGTAACCACACCCTAAAAGAATGATCTCCAATTCGAAATTCTATATAATACAAATATACAAATTGATCGATATTAAACTCACATTTAATGAGAATATTAAACAAAAATCAATGTTTTACATTTTATTTCGCAAACGCTACAGTCACATTAATACAAATGGTACATCCAGTGAACAGTTTACTCTCAACGATTGATCCTCTTGTTTAGAACTAGAGTTATTTAGAAAAAAAAGAAATGGAAGTGGATGAATGCCCGATTTCTCCGAAGCCAACAGAGAGGGCGTCGCAATATTTATTCCGCAAGCAGTTTGGCCAGACGTCTTAGAATGTCCAGTTTGAACTCTCGCTCGTTCTCACCACCTTTGTCTTGATCATTTGACTTTGCTGTATAAAGAAACAAAAGATGTGATGATCATTTACAATGAAGACAATATGAAATGAGTCGTGTGTACCACAATACATTCATTTTAATGGAAATTCAGGATGCGATAAAGTGCGAAGGAGGGTTGCCTTGACATAAATTAATCGGGAACGTGTCTATGATTAACGTCATACTTACGTGAGCATCCACCATACCGGTTGTTCCGGTAACCTTCATTGCAGCGGCAGGTGAATGTTCTTCCGACGACACTCTTCTTGCACTCTCCAAAGCCATCGCAGTTCTTGGTGTCACTGTTACAACGTGCCAAGGTGTCTCGGGCCTGCATTTCCAGTTCCTGGTCGCGGGCAATCATGGAAAAGTACTCCATCTCACGTTCTGTTTTGGCTTTAGATTTTACAAAATAGATTGTGATTATTAAAGACTGGTAGTGGCATTTTTTTAAAAGATCGCACGTCATTAATGTTATCCAACGATATTGACTACTTGGCTTGTGCCTTGTAAGGAAGAATAAGGGCAGACGATATGGAGCACATCAAACAGGGTATCTCTTTAAAGCCAAACTAAGGCTGAGATAAAATGTTAAAGAACGTAAATTCTAAGATCCATTATATTGTCTTCCATTGGCCACAAGCTACGGGTCATACCAAGATTGATATTATTATCATGAGGCTGCGTACAGTTTAATGACATACCTAATAAGACATAAAATAAAGGGAATGCCTTATGAACAAATAATTTTCGTCACCTCCTTGTGTCTGACAGCCATTTTTGTTCTAACCAAGTTTAATTGACTTTGTTTCAAATCATTCTATGGAAGGCACTAAAAACGTCAACATCGATCAGCTTTACTCACGTGAACATCCACCGTACAGGTTGTTCTTGTAGCCGTCATTGCACACGCAGATGTACTCTCCTGCGTTTCGTCCGAATTCCTTCGTCTTACACTGACCGAAATCGTCACAGTTGTAGGTATCCGATTTGCACCTACCCAAAGTGTCACGGGTCAACATCTCGAGTTCTACGTCGCGAGCAACGTTGGAGAGGTACTCGATCTCGCGGGCATCGACCTCTGCAAGGAAAATAAAATTATTGAAAAGTGTTAGTTGCTCTTTAGACCATGCTCTTCTCCCTTTAAATGTGTGTTTGAGAAACATAAAGATTAGAATAAGCGATAAGTAGAGCGTTTGGAAGGAAAGTGCTGTCAGAAGGTGGGGAGCAATAAAGTGCCAAGAGACAAAGTGATGCATTTTTATCTGTTAAATTATTTTATTTTATTTATTACTAAATTTGTATTTTCTGTAAATTATAATTTACGTTGATTTCATTTCCCCTTGAATTTCACATGTTACTCATGCCTATCAGTAATGCCTCATTTCGATTGCGCTACCACTTGCACCAATCAAGCGTATGGTGGCAAAAAGTACATTCGCTCTTGATTCAAATTAATAGGCCATTTTGGTAATGTAATACAAATGTAATGCATACGTTTTTGTAAAGTGCCTCGCTACGAATAACTTCATCCACTTGTTTCGAATATTTGTATCTCAATAGCCAGAATACGGATTGTATTTATTAGTTGTTGCTAAGTAGGACAAACATTCACTATGAATATGACTGACAAAGAAAGCGGACAAAATATACGGTTCCTCGGGTAGACAAAGGAACATCCCTTCACTGCTATTATGTAAAAAGGTGAATATGCATGTGACACATGTTCTACACATTTTTACATAATAGCAGTGGAGGGATGTTCCTTTGTCTACCTGAGGAACTGTATATTTTGTCCGCTTTCTTTGTCAGTCATGTTCATAGTGATGATTTGCCCTACCTGAAAACACGTAATATATGTAATTACTATTGAAATGCTAACAGGTGAATGAACTAATAGGAAATAACCAAATGATTTTTTTAATTTTACTTCAGTGCTTCGATACGAATTATTTCATTCCCCTGTTGCGAATAGTTGTATTTCAAAGTCCTAATAATAATTTCATATATTATATACGTGTTGTTAGGTAGGGCAAGCCATAATGTTGGGTCTACCTAGCAAGAACTAACGTATGCAATTCGTATTATGACTATCGAGATACAATAATATTCGTTACAGGTGAATAAAATAATTCATAACGAGGCACGTCACCAAGATGTACATTTATGCATTAAAATGTAATTTTCGTAATGTAACCCAATTTAATGCATAAGACTTTGTGAAGTGCCTCAATACAAATTATTTCATCCGCCTGATAAGAATAACAGTATTTCAATAGTCAGAATACAAACTGCATTAAGTGTTGCTAGGTAGGTCAAGCCAAAATGTTTGTCCTACCTGGCAAAAGTTAATGTATGCAGTTCGGATTCAGTCTATTGAAATACTATTATTCTTATCAGGAGAATTAAATAATTTGTATTTTGAGGCACTTCACAAAGACTTATTCATTCAATTTGGTTACATTAAGAAAATGATCTATTTACCAAATTTTGCAGTCACTTCTTTTTTTTCCCCAGTCGCTGACGCAGTCCTAAGTCAATAAAACGACGCATCGTTTAAAAATGACGTAAGTGCAATACTCACCTGAGCAACCACCGTATGCGTTACTCACGTAACCAGTGTCACAGAGACAGATGTAGCTCCTGCCGATCGTGCTATTTCGACATTTGCCGTGGCCGTCGCATTTGTTGGTGTCCCTTTCGCAAGTGGCAAAGCTGTCTCGGGTCTCCAGGGTCTCTTCTGTCTTGCCCTCGGGTACTGGGAATAGAGGGAAGTGTAAAAGGCATAATGGAGGAACATTCTTTCAGATTTTAAAACGCAGCATGTAAACGATGCAAACGTTAATCCAAACTTGAAAAAAGGGGGCATTTATTGATACAATGTACGATTTCTAACGGTGTTTTAATACAATTATAAATTACCGATTGAGAGTATATAACAACTTTGAAATGAAATATCATATATGGATTTTAGTTCTCGCGAAACAAAATTAGTTTTGCATGGTTATTCGTTGTGTGCGTGGGGCACCTGAAGAAACACTCACCTCGATAGAATTTGACTATTACAAGAAAGCAATGCGATCATATGTCACTCCAATTTCCGCGCTCATACTCATGAACTCTTTCACGCAAAAAATGTTCTGAAGATACACGACTTATTTTCCTATAACCTTGGTACATTGTTATATTTATGTACACACTTCTGGACAATGAATTGCCTCAATTTCTGTCATACATTTTTAACAAAAATACTTCTTTTGTATGAGGTAGTAGTATCACATTATCACATATCAGGGTTCTTCTTGAAGCTGGGTTAGCCAGTTGACTTGTGCATCATTTGGGCTTGACAGATCAGTCATCCCGTCAGGAGGTTTGAGAACAGGGCAGTTGTAGATGACATGGTCTGCCGTCAGGTCATCGGCGCCACAGATGCCGGCACATTAAAAGAAAAACTCTCATTAAGTGGATTAAAAAAAGGTTCTCAAGCACTTTTTGTTGCAGACGTATCAGAATACCTATTCCCCCAGTTTTTAGTTCGTATTTGGCCGGACCGGGGGAAATCCCCCAAAACTCCCCATTGACAGTCCGTCGCGGATTTTTCTGAGGTTCACAGGAAGAAGGGTGAAAATTAAAACTACCGGGGTGACTTACGTTGGCAGGACGAGTCTGATCCACCGACTATGTAAGGTAGCGTGCATTGGCAATACCACCCTCCTCGGCCGTCTTCAACACATTCGCCACGATCGTTGCAGTACCTGGTGGCCATTCGACACTCATGCCTGGTGTCACGACTCTCAAGGTCCAGGTCCTCATCTAAAAATCATACAAAAGTTAGGAAATACACGATAGCAGAGACTTATTGAGTAATCAACTTGAGGGTAATTTTAATACATTATACTTCCAATAGAAATCATGTTTGAATTATATAATACGTCATTGTATTGTTTGGTTTGCTTATCTCAACAGATGAACAAGGTACAGAAATTGCCTTGCGTTGGGTTTTGGATTTTGCGAAAGGGTGATATTTTTAGACGTATCTATTCTGTAATAGATGTCTTTTAATCCAAAGACATTTCATCTAAAGGATATAGAATGAAAAAAGATCAACTGATCTATTATAAGTGTTCTCTTTCCAATGAAGGTTAATTCTGAAGGGAACACGTTTTCTTAAAGGGAGGCTTTACTACTTCAGTCAGAAGGGATTAGACCACACAGCGAGCCAGCGAGGTCACTGTGACAGGTGGCTATCTCATTTACTCAGCTCTCATTTAACATAAGAAAAAGAGGATCATGGGGGACCAACAGGCACCGATTGGGGAAGTTTTCTATATAGAGGGAGCAAGTAGCTACAAGTAGGACAGTGTGCCTTTAAAAGGAACAATTGTTTATAAGTGGAAGTTTTTTTTTTGTATACAGAATTGGCACTCTCCATCCATGAGAAGTGAACCATGGCTAAAAACGAGAGGAGAAATAAAAGAGAAGCTTGTGTAAAGAATTTCTAATGCAATTTTCCTGGCCAAATTTCTAATACATGTCATCATAACAATTAAAGATAGTGCTAGCGAGTGACCGCTCCCCGAAATATCACTATTTTTGAATTTATAGGCCTAACTATTTAACACTCAGGGGCAAAATTTAAAACAAACTTACCTTTTTGAAGCAGCCTTTTCAGTGCCATCTGCAGCCTCTCTTCTGAAAATTAGATGGATAAAGATGTATTTATAAAAAAAAACTTTGATTATCAATTTTAGATCATACAGCAATAGGGTGGACATCGTATTTTAAAAATAGCTACGAATGTATGAAATATAGTGGGCTGAAAGAGATAGACAAAACATGAATGCTTCATCAGACCAGATTAAAATACATTATGCTACAAATTCTGGTATTATTTTACAAAACAAAGTTCAAATATCAATTGGTAAACCATCGGTCTCCGTATCGTATGGAATAGAGGGCTAATCTACCAAGTAAGTAACCGATAATTCAAGAAATTGTAGTTGCAAGTGAGCGTTTACATGAATAAGTGAGCAATTATTTCTTTATTTACACCGTTCTTGCATACAATCTTCAACCCTTGAATAAACCACATTGATATTGACACCCTATGATGGGATACAATTTCCAACACGTTTCCAACCTAATAAATCTGAAAGGAAGGTCTAGAATAAACCTTTTTAGTTCACCTAGAATTTAGTACTATTTTAGTCTGCCAAATTTTATACAAATCTTCTGTTTTACAGACACGATGAAGAAAAGGTACGAACCAAGGCTGTCTTCGGCGGCTACCAAACCGAAACCAATGATGGCGACGAGGAAAGCGAGGGACACCTTCATCTCGATGCGATGTGTTATTCCTGGAGATAAGGAACTAGTGGCAATGTCTGTAGTGTTTGATCTCTGAATCAATTGGAGCCAAGTTCAGTGGTGAATTGTCTTGTCTCTAAAGCACTGGGAACCAGAGGCAATGATGTCTTATCCGTGATGCGCTGGGAGCAAATGTCAGTCAAATCACCAGATGGCAAACAGGGCGGAGCTGTAGCAAGTGACGCTGCTCTCTGATGAAGGTCCTATCTTTATAGGTAACGGAATGATGAGGGCCGGAAAGCTTGCATTCCATTAAGACAGAGTTCATACAAAGAAGGAATTTCGAATGCAACCAAATGTTTTGCATACGTCCTAGTGAAATGCCTCAAAACAACTATTCAATACATCTGTTAGGGATTAGAATGCAATTTACAGTAGTTGTTGCTAGTAAGGACTAATTTTATGGCTTGCCCTATCTATATGCACCTTGTATTCTGATCGGCTATTGAAATACAATTATTTCTAACAGGTGAATGAAATCATCTGTAACTAGGCACTTCACAAAGATGCATTAAATGTGGTAGTACATTACGAAAATTGTTTATTGAAGGACCCTTCTCCGAAAGAACTAAGCCCGAGAACATAGTACCATTTTACTAATAGACCATTTTCGTAATGTAACCAAATTTAATGCACAAGTCTTTGTGAAGTGCCTCAATACAAATTATTTCATTCACCTGATAAGAATAATAGTAATTCAATAGTCAGAATGCAAACTGCATATTTCAAGTGTTGCTAGGTAGGTCAAGCCATAATGTTTGTCCTACCTGGCAACAACTAATGTATGCAGTTCGAATTCTGTCTATTGAAATACTATTATTCTTATCAGGTGAATGAAATAATTTGGATTGAGGCACTTTACAAAGACTTATGCATTAAATTTGGTTGCATTACGAAAATGGCCTATTCCAGTAAGCCTATCAAAAAATGTAATAAAGCGATGGTCCCTTCTCATAAAGAGCTAGTAGCGAACTTTTGCAATCACTTGTTACAAGTTATTAGCCGTGTTTACACGATGGCAATTTTGGTCGGCGTAAAGGTCGTGTTTAGAGCTAGTCGGCTTAAATATGGTGAGGTCGGCGTAAAGGTCGTCTGCGTAGTGATTGTCTGAACGATAGTCGTGTTAGCTACTCTGACCGATTTATCCAGGAGTAACGCTTTAACGCGACTGGAGGGTAACGTAAGTTGATCGTGTGGATGCTCTCACTCGGAGTATCTGTGACCTTTCACGATGGTTGATTTGTTTACAATCGAAAATGAAAATTCGATTTCGCGAGGTTTAGATGCGGAAGGTTGGTTAAGGTCGACTCGTGCGAGCTCCACCACTTCTAGGGGCGGTTCCAGGGGGCGTGGGGCGCACACCCCCATTTCACCTTCAGAAAAAAGAAAAAAATAATTTACGTAAATGTTCAGTTTACTCGTTCAGAAATGCCTTAGAATGTACCATAGAGCAGCTTAAGGTTCAAACATTTCCGGGGCCATTAAGCGGGGCCCAGACCCCACACAGTAAATGCTCCGCGCTTCGAGCATGCAATTTTTCTACATTTCACGCCCCCCTTGGAAATTCCTGACTTCTGGAATTTACGCTGAGTATGGGGCTTTCACATAATCACGACGGGGCCCGCACGGCGAGTAAAAACAGACATTTTGGGAATTTTCGGCCGGTGTCCGGCCGGCTGCCGTAAATTTCCGACGGGTGCCGGGACAAAAAAATTAGCTGCCGGGACAGTTTTTTAAGCCGTACGGGCGTCGTGGTGGTGAGCTGGCTGCTCCCAATTCTCCAGGCGTTTTTATCTGACCGTTAGGCCGTAGAAAGCCCGTAAATGGCCAGTAGGGCACCTTACGGTTTCCGTGTGGTCTCCAGACGGTGCCCAGACGGGCCCCTCACGATTTTGTTGGGTAAATTCTCATGAAAAATCTTTACGAGGAGCCATGGGCGCACCTGCTCATCGGACGGAGCCCGTAAGCTTACCGGCCGGCACCTTGCCGGCACCCTTACGGGCACCTTGCATGTCACTCGACCAATTTTCACCTGGCACCATCCGGGTATTTAGTATTTGCGGGGCGCGCCGGGGGTCCCAGTGCAGATCCGGTCGCGCGCGATTTGCAGTGTATCTTTTCCCCAATTTCCTATACACGGCGAACTTTCACTTCCGGGCTAACAGTTGGCCGCGCATTTGGCCCTACGTGCGTTTACAGTGAGAAAAGGCCTGGCCGAGACTACCTCCAGAGCAGGGCCAAATGCGCGGCCAGTTTGGCCTCGCATTTGGCCTTTTGCGCGTTTACAGTGCTAGGCCAGGCCTTTTGCTCACTGTAAACGGGGTCCTAGGCATAAGACTGGGTCGGTGGAAGGTCGTGGACAATAATGGTATAGTCAAACAATTTGGGATATTTATACTGCTGCAGGGATTAACTTACGCCGAACAGGAAGCCCCCGTCTGAACATGGCTAATGTATGTCATTATTCAGAATGTAGTTTGCATACATTAGTTTTTGCTACGTTGATCAAGCCGCTGGAAAACCTGTGATCAATCACTAGTAACCATTGTAGTAGAGAAATTCCCGACAAATTGAATGCATTTGTAAACTGGTCTTCCCGGAGGCTGTCACGTAATCTACACTATGAATATGACGGACAAAGACGGCGGACAAAATATACAGTTCCTCAGGTAGACAAAGGAACATACCTTCACTGCTATTATGTAAATATGTGTAGAACAGGTGTCACATGCATATTCACATGTTCTACACATTTTTACATAATAGCAGTGAAGGGATGTTCCTTTGTCTACCAGAGGAACTGTATATTTTGTCCGCTTTCTTTGTCCGTCATATTCATAGTGCTAGTACGCATGGTAGAATTCACTTAAAGGGCCCATGACATCGAACTACAAGTGTATTCCTGTTGTTGTGCAGTCCTGCATACATCTCATATTTTGATATGTAAACTGCTGAATTTGTTTCATAGATTTGTAAATATTTGTTGAAATATTTGTTTTTCAAACTTGCTAAGCTCCACCCCAAGTCATCAATGAGTTAACTTGAGAAAGTGGCATGTAACTTTGCCAAAGTTGACCACCTGTTACAATACCACAAACAATAGCAACATATAAGTTGCTATGTCAGACTAAACTAATATTCTAGAATTGACTTGGCACACGTTCATAATAGAATTGCATGCTTCCATATTATGTACAATACATCATCATTGCGTTTGTCTTCCTGGTGATGCTACAGCATGTCTGACATAGCAACTTATATGTTGCTATTGTATTACGTATTGGTAAGGTAGAGTAATATTATTCATCTTCAACCAATTTTCTTTTTCCTTTTTTGTTTTTTTAAGGGAAGGGGTGAGGGGGGGGGGGGGGAGGGCGTCATAATTATAATACGATTATAATACTTCTTCCAATTGGTGCTCAAAGTATTTAGCCAAGGTGGATTGTCGTAGCTGAGATAAATATACTATTGTTTATTTCAGTTTTTACCGTTTCTTGGTTATTGTATTCAAGATGAATTGTTTATGTATGACAGGAATCAATAAAGAATATTGAAGAAAAAAAATCCAAAATAATCCTTTCGGGTAATATGTTTCTCTGATAATGATGGGCATATCATATATACAAAATATCAATCATATGACAGATAGTTATAATGTTTTAATCAAACATTACTTGTTCGGGTCGGTGTTATTATTTAAGTTAAACTATACAATCTCAGGCCCCGCCCCCCACTCAGTGTTATTTAGGGTACGCGTATGCTTGTTCCCTCTTTTTGAAAGCACCCCCTATCTGAGGACTGCCAACTTTTCGGAACCCCCCTTTCGCGGGTTTTTCGCGGGCTTTTCCTGCCTTGGGCTTGGAGACCCCCCTAAATCCAGACAAATTCTCAATGTACCCCCCTAAATTCGGAATAATTTCTCGGCTATGATTTTCCTTCCTTGAAAAGTAAGGTTTTGTTATTGAATTAAAAAGTCTTTCCAATTAAAGCTTGGTGCACGATACAAATTTTCCTAATACGTCACATATTCAGGAAATGGCTGCGCCCATGTTTTGCTATTTACATTACATCATGCCAAGAAATCTTCATTTATAAATCTCTCATACACGTTCGTAAAATTTATTGTACATCAATGAAAAGGCAGGAATTCACCTCAGTTTTCAGAATACCTACACTTATTCTGTGGGGTTAGGTTTTCTTTAACACCGACGCAAGGTATCCACGTTTCAGTTAAATTCAAATTTAGAATGAGCTGAAAACCAGCTTTTGATTTTAAAAAGAAAATTAGTAGAATACACATTATGGTCACATTATGACACACGGATTCAAATTATATGATTGCATTCTCGTCACCACACCCAGAAGCGGCCCTCCAGGGGGCACAGTGCCCCCAGTTTTTCAAGTACCCAAAAGAGCCCCTTCTGACATAGGAAAAGTGACCATTCCCCTATTCACCTCTGACAAGTGCCCTTTTTTATTTCGACAGTTCCCATTTTTCTTTGCAAAAAATGTCCATTTTCCAATCTCATAAGAGCACGTTTTAATCTCTAGTAAGTGCCTCTTTTCAGGTACAAGAAGTGCCCTTTTTCACTTTCGATAAGTGGCCCCTTCACCTCTGATTTGAATTTATTTGAATGTATATCTATTTTATCTCTCTCTCTCTCTCTCTCTCTTAGTGCCATATCGATTAACTTTGGCGATCAAGCTGTTCCACAACCCTCTGTTCCTAGCCTTCTTTATTAGCACCACTCCCAGTTCTTTCACTCCCCTCTCTCTCTCTCTTCCAACAATTTCCGCAGACTGTCCATCCAAAATATCCTCCTTCCTTCGACCCATGAACTTCAACTGCCTAATCAACATCTCACGTATCATTTTACTTTACACTCCGGCTCGTCTTAGAACTTCCTCATTACTAATTTTGTCACTCCAAGGGATTTTCATCATTATTTATTGTAAATTTTATACACGATTAAAAAAGCCCAAACAGTTACAAGACTGATTTTAATTGGGGGGGGGGGGTGAAACAATGTAAATACATCAAATAAACATGTAATTTGTGATTATAAAAAACCCCGCAACACTGTACAATATGTATAGTTCGAAATTTTATTGAAATATTTGGAAATTATGGAAATATACAAATAGATCAATACGACTCACATGTAATGAATAATAAAAGAAATCAACGTTTTACATTAAATTTCGCGAAAGCTACAGTCACAGTATTACAAATGATACATCCAGTGAAAAGTTTACGTTCAACGATTGATCCTCACGTTTAAAACTTTAATTGTTCAGAGAATAAGAAATGGAAGTGGATGACTGCCTGAATTCTTTGAATCCAACAGAGAGGGCGTCGCAATATTTATTCCGTAAGCAGATTGGCCAGACGTCTTAGAATGTCCAGTTTGAACTCTTGCTCGTTCTGTCCACTTTCGTCTTGATCACTTGACTTAGCTGTATAAAGAAACAGAGATGTGGTGATCATTTATGATAAAGAAAATATATGATGAGTTAAAGTGCGCAGCAGGGCCGGCTGCCTCGACATTAAAGATAAGCTTGAGTTATGGTAACGGTAGAAAACAAAACTTGTACTGGATGTTCAAGATTACAAATAAATGACGTGAGCAAATTGATTTTGGCAACAAAAAAGTATAGGGGCTGAGTAATGCTTGAACATAGAAAGATGAAGAAATCAAGTTAAGTAGGCCCCACATCATATGCTAAACACAGGTCCCTATCTGCAAATGAGAGTTGTGATTTTTATTGAAGCTGATTTCCAGCAAGTTTTTAGTGAGGTTGTTATTATTTTACTGGTTCAAACAATCAATCACATGCAGGATAAACAATCCATAATGAATTATAGCCATGTTCTCTCGACATACGATGCCCATACCAGAGCTCAAGATAAGCTTAAATTTGAATTTGAAATTGGACATTACATGACACTTTTACTTCATTTTGGAATCGTTTGCAACTGTGCATACAAGGCTCAAATTTCGGGAGAATGTCAGTAACACCATCATATGGAAAGGTGGGCATTATGCCTAATGTACAAAATACATGTACATCATTTGATGACAGGACGTTCTCAGCGATAAGCAAGCGACAGCGTGAAAGATTCTGCGAAATAAACAGGGTGAATTACTGGCGCATATGCTAATAGACTAGTTCACGGTTACCACATCTCTGCAATGACCCCGAATATCCACATATCTTCAAAACATGAAGAGGTCCCACTTTGTACATTTTGAAATAATCATTCCTACAGCGATGGAGGTGCTACATAAATAGTCTTTGTTTCCCCTTTTCAAAGAATACTTCCACCTGTGTATCATGGAGTTCAATGCTTGTGCATGAATGAATAATGATTACATAATTTATTTTGTCTCACGTGTATTTCATAATTTGTTATGCAATGACCTTTATCTGCTCATGCTCAGACTGCAACCGTGAACTGGCTTATTGCTTTCAAAGACTTGAAAAACGTCGGAAATCCTTAATAAACACAATGGTGCTATACGCCGTTAGTTCACATCGTTTGTGCTGTTAATTTTGCATTAATGTTTCGACCGTTTTCTCCGTCACATGGGCATCAAAGTTGGTGACGCAGTTGTACGTCAGGGCAGCGTCTCACGAAACCGTCATAAGCACAAGGTCGCCAACATCCCTTTGAAATGCGTGTATTACGTTTAACACGCATTTCAATGGGATGTCGGTGAACTTGTACTTATGACGGTTTCGTGAGACGCTGCCCAGGGGTACGACGCCTCGTGTGCACCGGGCATCATGAACGTCTCTATGATCAACGTCATACTAACATGATCATACACCATACAAGTTGTTTCCGGTAACCTTCATTGCAGCTGCAGATGAACTGCTTGCTTGGCGTACGCCTTGCAAGGAAGAATAGTGGAAGAAGATATGGAGCAACTAATAAGTTACGGAACAGATTAAACAGTGGCCAGGGTATCTCTTTAAAGGCCATCGAAAGCTGAGATAGAATGTTACACTCTGGTTTAATACAGAACGTGTCTCCCAAGATCCATCCCACTGTTCTCCATTGGCCACAAGGCACAAGCTACGGGTCATACCATGCAAGATTGATATAATTATGACGAGGCTACGTACAGTTTAATGACGTACATAATGAGACATAGGATAAAGGGAATGTCTTATGAACAAAGAATGTTGTCTCTTCTTTGGGGTATTTTATTTATTGAATTTTTTCGCCGAAGACTGACTCAGTAATTAAATCTTCAAAATTATTCTTTTTAACCCTATTTAGCCCGGGCTATTTTGAAACTGCATAGCCCGGGGGGGGGGGGGGGGGGGGGGCTTCTAAGGCCCCCCTATGATCTCGGCCGTGAAACGCCCGATCGCCGCGAAAATTTGCATACATGTCAAGTGAAGTGTATAGAATACTATGGTAATTTCAATTTTTTTGAAAAATTCACTCATTTGCATATTTATGGTAATTTATGCAAATAAGGTCATTAGATTCACATTTTTGCCCATAAATCAGACATTATTCATATTTAAGCATTCTTTCTCACTCCATATATTTGTTAGACCATTTGGAATAATAATACAACACAAAAATTTGAAAAACCAGGGTTATTCCTTATGTTATCTATTGTTTTGATAATTTCTTATGTATTTCTTTGTTTTTTTAACTTATGTATTTTATTGTTTTTGTTGTTTTATTTCATTTCCAACTATAATTCAACTATTTTGACTCCAAAATAAACACCTAAAATCTAAACAAGACCAAATAACCAATGTTTTACCTCTTTATTTGAAAAATGAGATTTCCATATGTTTTGTACACAAATCACAAAAATGAGCGATTTTCGGGCTGACATGCGAAGACAAAAGGACACGTGCCTTTGTAATTGTAGGTCCGATTTTTGAAAAATTTCTTTCAAAAGTTGCGCAAGACTAGAAAGAAAAAAGTCACAAAATTTCAGTGCAAGATTTTCTTGCGGTAAAAAATTATCGCGAAAAATGTCGGTTAAGGCATTTAAAACGTCAACATCGATCAGATTTACTCACGTGAACATCCACCGTAGAGATTGTTCCTGTAACCCTCATCTAGCCAACGTGTCACGGGTCAACATCTCAAGTTCTACGTTACGAGCGGACTCAATCTCGCGGGCATCGACCTCTGTAAGGATAATAAAACGATTAAAAAGGGTTAGTTACTCTTCTCCTTTAAAATGTGTTTGAGAAGCATAAAGATCGGCAACGCATAAGCCGCAGTGCTCGCTGGGCTGGGCTGTGGGTAGTAAGGACTTGGTGCTACCAGGGAGCTGTGCTGTCTTGGAGGGGGATTAAGTTGAATGCGGTAGGGGACAAACAAAAAGACGCGCAGTCCCACGGATGACTTTTTATGGGCCTCTTGGACGGGATCTCCGTTCATTCCAACTCCCTGGTCGTACGTAGCAAGAACTGTCGTTAGCAAGAACTGTCCTAAGCAATATCGTATTACGACTTTCGAGATACAATAATATTCGTACCAATTCGTAACGAGGCACGTCACAAAGACATATATGTATACATTTCAATTTATTAAACTAAAGGAGAACTAACCCCGAGAATAGGTGTAGGTATTTTAAAAATCGAGATGAATTCCTGCCTTTTGATGTACAATTAATGTTATAACGTGTACAAGAGATATTCAAATGAAGATTTTTTGGCGTGATCTAATGCCTTTGCATGACTTGGGCGAAGCCATTTTCTTGAAAATGTGACGTACCAGAGTAAGTTGGATCATGCACCAAGCTCGTTTTGATTTTTAAAAAATAAATTTACCAACAAAACCTTTACTTTTCAATGAGGAAAAATCATAGGTGATAAGTTGAAAATATTTGGTAAAGAACATTTAATAGGGTCACAATTGCAACTCATTTTATACTTAAAAATTCTAAAATATATAGCGGTTGAAAAATGTATTTAAATTATGCAAAACCTTCACCCCAGAACAGCACCAACTTATTTATGCAATTTGCGTTCTGGTAATTGGAGTACAAAGAATAAAAGCAGGTGAATGAAATGCTTCAACATCACAAACACCTGGCAAGGAAGCATCCGATAATTTGAATTCATTTAGTTGATGAACGACTCTGCATAGTACGTCATGCAATCAAGAAAATGGCGATGCCCATGTCTTGCTGAGAAATGTACTTTATTCTTGCTTTATGCCTTTCTCATACACTTCGAGGGGGATCTTTTAGATTGATGGGCAAGAATGCAATAAATCTCTCAAAACAACTAAAGTCAATTTTGGGGGTTAGTTCTTCTTAAAGAGAATGACCTATTTTCGCACTTTTCATTATGCAGTCACTTTTTTCCAGTCGCTGACACAGTCAATAAAATGACGGATTGGTGTGAAAATTACATAAGTGCAATTACCTGAGCAACCGCCGTATGAGTTACTCGCGTAACCAGCGTCACAGAGACAGATGTAGCCCCTGCCGAAGGTACTCTTATGACATTTGCCGTGGCCGTCGCATTTGTTGGTGTCCCTTTCGCAAGCGGCCATCTTAAGGTCGTTCTTGCCCTCGGGTACTGGGACTAGAGAGAAGTGTATAGGCATAAGGTAGAATCATCCTTGAGGTTGGAAAACGTAGCATGTAACACTATGAACATGACTGACAATGAGAGGGGACAAAATATACAGTTCCTCAGGTAGACAAAGGAACATCCCTTCACAGCTATTATGTAAAAAGGTGAATATGCATGTGACACCTGTTCTACACATTTTTACATAATAGCAGTAAGGGATGTTCCTTTGTCTACCTGAGGAACTGTATATTTTGTCCGCTCTCATTGTCAGTCATGTTCATAGTGTAAACAATGCCAACGTAAATCCACACACTTGAAAAAAGGGGTCATTTATTGGAATAATGTATGATTTCTAACACAATAAATCACCGATGGAGATTAGATAAAAACTTTGAAATGAAATATCATATATACATTTTATATCTCACGTGAGAAAATAAATATTGCACGGACATTCGTTGTATGCCAATGGATGAGAGAACAATGGATGTATATTTTTTAAGGCAAACACATTTCAAAGTTTTAATCAACTTATTTTTTGCTCCATAACATCACACTTAGTATATCGTCCAAACATAAGTTCAAGCAATCAAACAAATTGAATGCGTGATTCTTTGTCAGGCACATGAAAAATTGTGCAGTTTTTATGAATGCTGAAGTTTGATTCTGATCAGAGGCAGACCGCAGACGGGAGTAATATTTGATTGGGGAATTTCGATTTGACCGGCATACTCGGAACCTAAAAGACACATACCGTCCGACCTTCAGACCCCAACTCGATTGGCCCATGGCGGAAACCCCAAAACTCCCACATGGCCAATCCACCCGCCCCTCCCCCGAGTTCCGAGGATCCCAGAAAGTAGGTTTTAAAGTTTAAAAATAAAACTACCGGGGTGACGTACGGTAGCAGGACGACTCTGATCCACCGACCATGTAAGGTTGCTCGCATTGGCAATACCACTCTTCTCGTTTGTCTTGAACACATTTGCCACGATCGTTGCAGTTTCTGGTGGCCATTAGACAAGCTCGCCTGGTGTCACGACTCTCAAGGTTCAGGACCTCATCTAAAATCATACAAAAGTGAATAGAGGAAAGAAAATGATCGCAGAGACTTACGAGAAATCCACATTATACTTCCCATATAAATCATGTTTAGATTACGTAATACCTCATTGTATTGTTTGTATATTTCAACAGATGGACAAAACAAATTGCCTTGCGTTGAATTCTTGAAAGTCCTTGCAAATGTGCGAAAGGGTAATATTTTAGACGTATATATTATACAAATGATGCATGCGCATGAGTATATTATACGATCTATCCGCACTCGAGTTGAGGCTGTGTGTATCTATTGCACGAAGCCGTTAGACCAGGAAGCTGTAATGAATGGAGACTCCGTCTCGAAAGAATTTCCCGAGGAAAATATATTCAAGATTAACTTGGCTTAACAAAAAGAAATGTAACCCTCTCCAGCCATCAAATCCATCTACAGCTGTCCTTATCAATGCACAGTTTCCCTCTAGTATTCCAAATATTACGAAATGTTACGCAACGCCGTCTGCTTCCCGAAGTTCTCTATTCACTCGGTCGTAAAAATATGCAGGCACCGACAAATTAGGTCATGTTCAGTGAAGATGTATTTAGCTAAAACATATAAAATACAGAATTCCCGACATATGACCAATGAAACTTCATTTTGGTTATCAAATGTTTTTTTCGTGCTGGGATAGCTCTACTGAAGACGAAACCATTTCAACCAGCAAAATCGACCAAGGAAATCGTGAGTTGGAGCGAATGTAAGGTTTTCATCATCAGGATTTTCTCATCGAATTATTGACATTTTCCGAAAATTTCCGAAATTTGTATATAGCTAGGAAGGTAGTCCAAAGGTTTAGCTCCCTAAAGAACTAAATGAAATTGTGTTATATGTTTGCGCATTTTTGGACGACTGGTTAGAAGTTGTCAATTCATCACCACTTTTCACCCCAAGTACGGGCCGGCAACGCATAAGCCGCCGTGCTCGCTGGCCTGGACTGTTGGTGGAACGGGAGGACTTAGAGCCACTAGGGAGCTGTATGGTCTCGGAGGGATTAAGGGGATTACGGTAGGGGAAACAAAAGACGCGCGGTGCCACGGATGGCTTCAAAGGGACCTCTTGGACGGGATCTCCATTCATTACAGCTTCTTGGTTAGACTGAGTGCGATAGATACACACAGCATCAACGATGGCGGATAGACTCGTATAATGAACGAATGAAAACATGCATCATTTTTTTTATACAACGAAACTCCTAGATCCTTGTTATTTGATGTAAAAAGAATTCCTTCAAGATTGTTTCGTGACAGTATGGCTGACAAATAAATCTCAAATTTAATAAAGCTTAATTTAGTGCGCACACATATTCTTAAGATATAGCAAGCGCACTAATTACCTCTACCCATTTACGCATAGTGCTGCGCAAGAATAGGCTTATGCTCACGCAGTATTAAGCGCTCTAACCTCTACGCGCACTACTGCGCTCTGAAAACGAGTTCAATAGTACTGGAAAATATTGCACTCCTTTCATGAAAACGAGTGCAATAGGCTCAGTAAATGAATCACACGTGACCGCGCATGACCAATCATTTGATTAGGATCTGGGAGTGAGTTGTATAATCTCTAATATACGTATTTATTTTAATCCGAAGATATTCATCTAAGGGTAGAGAAATTGATTTGATTATTATAAGTGTTCTCTTTCCAACGAAGAGAAATTAGTAACATGTTTATATTAAGGGAAGTGTTTTAGTTTTCGGAATCGGCACTCTCCATCCATGAGTAGTGAGCCTAAACATGTTAGTTTAAAATCTGGCCGATAGAATACATGTCATTAGAGCGATCAAAACAAGCGCTACCGGATGACCAGTCCAGCAAAGCATAGCTAGTCGATGCTAATGCGTATTGACCTTTAGCACTGCATACTTGCTGTGAGGCAGGTATTATACACAGATATACAGACCACACAATATTGTATAGACTGCACACAATAGGATCGATTGGGCTGATCGGCAAATTTGACACTAGACCTTACAATTTGAATTTTTAAATTATTCTTTTTAACATCAGTAATGTGAAAAAATATATAATTATTACTGCTATTTAGGTGTCATAAATTGTCACTATGTCTAAAGTATCGATTTTTAGTGAAATCAGTTGAGTTTTGTACAGTGGTGTTTGAAATGTTGAGAATCAATAAAACAGCTTTTACTACACAGCCAGGATAGTAATGCACCTATGTGTGCCGAACGACCACCCTCCCCCAAAATATCACTAATTTAGAATTCTGACTTATAAGTCCAACTATAAACACTCGGAGCAAAATTTAGAAAAACCCACCCCCTTGAAGCAGCTTTTTCAGTGCCATCTTCAGCCTCTCTTCTGAAAATTAGATGGATATAAATATATTTCAAAGTTTTTATCTTCTGTGATAGTAAATTCAAATCATCCGACAACAATTAACTAAAGGTAGACATCGTATTTTAAAGTAGCTTCGAGATGTAAAATTCATAGTAGGTTGAAAGAGGTATTTGACAAAGGCCGTTGATGTTTCCTTGGGCCAGATCAAAATACATTACGTAACAAATTCTGGTAATAAAAAAATAAGAAAAAAGTTCACATAAAAATTGGTAAAGCATAGGTCTCGATAACATAATATGGTGTCGTGCAAATGCTATTGCAAACAAATGTAGTCCCTTGCCTAGCAAACAGTTTCAAGGAAGCATGTATAAGTGGCAACTCTCTATTTATACACACATTTTAAACATTACTATTAACCCTCGAATCAACTATATTTCCAACATGTTTTTAGTTGAATAAGTCTGAAGGGAAGGTCCAGAATAAATCTTCTCTTTTGGTCACTGCATGGAGTTTACTTCTATAATAGACTGCCAAATTTGTATACAAATCTTCTGTTTTACAGACGCGATGAAGAAAAGGTACGAACCAAGGTTGTCTTCGGCGGCTACCAAACTGAAGCCGATGACGGCGACGAGGAGAGCGAGGGCTACCTTCATTTTGACGCTATATGTATTATTCCTGGAGTTGAGAAACTAGTGGCAACGTCTGTAGTGTCATATCCCTGCATCGATTGGAACCAACGTCAGTGGCCAATTATCTCCGAAGCACTCGGAAGTCGGAACCAGAGGCAATGCTGTCTTTATATCCCTGATGCGCTGGGGGCAAATGTCAGTCAAATCACCAGACGGCAAACGGGCGGAGCTGTTTCAAGTGACGCTGCTCGCTGATGACGATCCTGTCTTCATAGGTAACGGAATGATGAGGGTCGGAAAGCTCACATTCCATTAAGACAGAGTTCACATCAAGAAGTTTTCAGAGATGGAGTCTTATCTAGCTCATTCCTTACGAACCATCTTCGATGCCGCCAGGAGAAAATATGTCAGGCATGTGCTTAACTGGATCTTTCTTGCAGATGCGTAGACAAAAGATTCCTGCCTTGCTGCAAACTAACAGGCCACTTTCAAAGGGAAATATGCTTTTGTAATGATAAATACTTTTTGCTACCACTCGTCTGATAATACGAGCAGTACACAGTGCTAACCTTAACATGAGGCAAGCGCAAGGAAATGGAGCACAATTTCCTGCAATATTAATGGAAATTACTCGACTGGGCATGTGTGGGCTCTAATAACATCATAAAGAACTGTACATGAACAAATTCGATTTTTTATTTCCGTGACCCGGAAGTAATCGGAAAAGTGTCAAATTGCAGGTTTTAGGACTGTAAAATGTTGCTATTTTTCACAAATTAAAGCTGCTATCATACATTGTAAGTGAAATATTAAGGATATTTATTTGTGAAAAGAATCTCTACTCAAGCTTTCCAATGATATTGGCGGCTTCGAACCTCGGACATCAAAGGTAACAACACACCAGTAGTCAAGATTATATCGTACAACCATAGAAAACGGCAGCTGCTTGGAATAATGTGTTGCCAGTTGGGTCTTCAGCTCTTAAGACTCCTTGGTTCACACATAGAAGAAAGTCAAATAGACCATTTTTGTTATGAAACCAAATGTTTTTCATACGTCTTAGTGAAATGCCTCAAAACAACTATCCATTCATCTGACAGGGATAAGTGTAATTCGATAATCAGAATGCGAATTGCAACCATTGCCCTATCTGACTACAGGTAATATATGCACTTTACATTCAGACTTTCGAAATACAATTATTCCTAAAGCCCCAGTCCCATATAAAGCCGGACCAGCACGGACGAGCACGGACCACTCCGGACCATCCCGGACCATGGTCTGGGGTGATCCGGGATGGTCCGGGATGTTTTGTTCAAAAAAGTGTGATGCTTTAAAAGCTACAGTCCCATATACGTCCCGGACCGTCCCGGACCATCCCGGACCCCATCCGGGGTGATCCGGGATTCGGTCCGTGTTGACACCGTGTTGGCACCGGGGTGGTCCTGGATGGTCCTGGATGGTCCTGGATGGTCCTGGATGGTCCTGGGCGGTCAATAACTCACTCCCGGACTGCCACGGATCAACACGGACCGCCCCGGCGCCACTACGGATGACCCCGGACCCAGCACGGTGGCTACACGGATCACCCCGGATGCGACTTTGCGTTTTACACCCTGGCCTGGACCTTTTCCCAATAAATTTCAAGGAACCGACTGGGAAAAGTCTATCCATGACAAGATATTGCGCGCGCACGTAGCTCTTCTGCAATGCTCAACGTACGTCCTATATGTCCAGTGTCGCGGTACGCGGTACATGTACTTTTGTATCGAGACGTACGAGTGAGAGAAAAACAACGAATAACAACAGAAGGAAATAGAGAAAAACAATAAATAATTAAAGAACAGAGAGGAAACAAAGAATGTCATAAGCAGAGAGAGAAAACAAAAACTAACTTGAAAGAAAGAGAGAAATTAGAGAAGGAATTAATCAAAGTAAGGAAACAGAGAAACCAAATAATATTATGGTTTTTGTGGTTTAATTCCGCCTTCTTCAGGGTTTCAATTTTTGACGTGTAGCCTACTTTCAAACCATTTGCTGATTCGGACCCCCCCCCCCCCTAACACACGTGTACACATATCGACACATACACAGACTACACTCGACATAATATGTGTAATGGTAATGTAATACATAAACTGTGATTTAAATATTGCACTCGTACCATTTTCTATTATTTTGGGATCACGTCTTTCATTTTTTAAATTCATGTCATTTGTTTCTAAGACCTAATTTCTCTAATTCTCTTGACCCCTCTCCCTTCATATTTGTTTTCTAAGACCTCCCCCCCCCCCATCTCTCTTCATATTTGTTTTCTAAGACCTCTCTCTCTCGACCCACTCTCTCTCTCGTATGTATTTCTCAGACCCCTCTTTCTTTCTCTCTCATTAACCCCCTCTTCATATTTGTTTCTAAGGCCTCTCTCTCTCTCTCTTCATATTTGTTTCTAAGACCCCCCCCCTCCTCTCTTTCTCATTTCTTGATATTTGTTTCTAAGACCTCTCTCTCTCTAGCTCTCAATTCATGATATTTGTTTCTAAGACCCCCTCTCTTTCTCACTTCTTGAATTCATATTTGTTTCTAAGACCTCTGTCTCTCTCTCCCTTTCTCTCTTTCTCATTTTAAATTCATGATATTTGTTTATAAGACCTCTCTTTCTCTCTTTTTCCATTCATCACTTTGTCTAGTGTAATGTACAGACACATAACATATAAAGGAAATTATACACCAGTTTTACATGAATTCATTTGCACTTTATTTACTGCTTTACATTCATATACTTTTTTTTTTCGTGAAGGTAATCTAATCCTTCAATGTCAGAGAAGTAATACAAAAGATACAGGAGTATGTGTATGCATAAATAGTTATATAAAGAAGAAATATGTAGTAAAAGTGAAAGCAAACAATAGTAGAAATTTGAACAGAAAATTTGACAGTGTGTTAAGATTTAGATGCAAGAAATGACTATAAGAAATTTTTATTTGAAAATACATGCACATGTAGATAAAAAGAGATCTGAACATAGGCGGATTCATGGGCGCAGAGGCGTGCACCGCACTTTACTTTGGAGATAACGAACTGAATACACATAAGCCTAATAATGGATGATACGTGAAAATATTTTTCTTCAGCGAGTAACAATATTTCACGTATTTCGCGAAAATTGATCATCCAATATTATAATTATTATTTAGATAGGCCCTAGGCTACGGAAAACATTGACAGTTAAAATTATTAACTGAAAAGTATTAACCATAGTCTAGATCTAGACCTAGTAGATCTAGATTCTATACGGTACGTAGATAGTAGAAGTAGTAAAGTTAGCTTTAGTAGACTTTATTGGAGAACTTGTTTAGCACAGGGCTAGATCTACTTCATATTCATAACTCCTAAGTTAACTCATGAACTGTATTAAGTTAGTAAGTTACACCTTAAGTTAGGCCCTCCTGCAGTCCTAGACTAGGTCTACATAACGTTAGATCTAACGTTATGTTTGTTTACATTGTTACTTATGCTTAGCTAGTCCAATTGACATTGCTGTTGTTAATGTTGACTGACAGACAGTACTGACAGTGACAGTGACAATGTGACACTGTGCAGCGACTCACTTAGTCTTACTCTTAGTTTTGCTAACTATGGATGCCTAACACTAACAGTTACAGTTAATCGTACTCATATAACTACAATTCAAAACTGGATTTACAGTATTCATACCCGCAAAGGCGTCTGCATTGCCACTCCGTCATCATCCTCGATGAATTCCATCGTGCAGCAAGCTTCTTAACTTGTTGTTCTGAACTTGAAATCCTATATCTTCTCCCTTAATCTTCAGTATTGCAGCTGCGTACGGTGTGTATAAATGCTGCATCGACGTACGTCTGTGCATGTACGATTCGATTTGGAACTGGCGCGCCCGATCGAGGAGCGTAGACTAGACTCATTCAAGCAGTTTCATTGCTATTTACCGGGAAAATGTCCAGGCCAGGGTGTAAAACGCAAAGTCGCACCCCGGATCAAACTATTGTCCCGGACCGTCCCGGACCACCCCGGCAGTTTTTGACCGTCAAAAACATCCGGGGTCGACTCCCGGACCGCCCAGGACCATCCAGGACCATCCAGGACCATCCAGGACCACCCCGGTGCCAACACGGTGTCAACACGGACCGAATCCCGGATCACCCGGATGGGGTCCGGGATGGTCCGGGACGGTCCGGGACGTATATGGGACTGTAGCTTAACACGTAAATGGAATCTTTTGTAACTAGGCCCTTGACAAAGATACATTGAATTTGGTTACATTACGAAAAAGGCTTATTGATGGAACCTTCCCCTTTAAGCCTAGTAAAGAACTATGCCATTTACCATTTTACTAATTGCATTTCAGTAAGCCTTTCCAAAAAATGCAATAAGCGATTGTCCCTTCTCCTAAAGAACTAGTTACGAACTATTGCACTCACCTGGGCACAGTACTCCCCACTTTTTTCAATTACCCCAAAAGTGCCCCTTTTTACTTCAGAAAATTTCCCTGGCAATAAGTGTCCATTTTCCATTATCATAAGTGCACTTTTTAATTTCTAGTAAGTGTCCCTTTTCAGGAACGAGAAGTGGCCTTTTTCACTTGTTATAAGTGCCTCCTTCACCTCTGATAATTGCCCCAATCTAATTTGAGAGGCGCCCCTCCTCTGTTAATAACTCCCCATTTTAACTCAGATAAAGTGCATCTTACATTTTCACATGTGCCCCTTTCCTAATGTTAAGTTCCCCCATTACAAAAAAAGCCCCTTCACCTTCTCATTTCTGGTAAATGACACTTTTCAGGTACGTGAAGCTACTTTTTTGAGTTCAGATAAGTGCCCCTTCACCTCCGGTAAATGCCCCTTTTAAAAACTGATCGGTGCCCCTGTTCTTTCGACTGATGGACATTTTCCTTTATTATAAGTGTCCCTTTTTCATTCTCATAAGTGCCTCTTTTCATATCTGGCCAGTGCCCCTTTTCAGGTGCGATAGGGGCCTCTTTTCACCTCTGATAATTTCCCTCTTAACAATGATAAGTTTCCCTTTTTTTCTAATAAGGGACCTATCCCCTTTTAATAAATGCCCATTTGCACCTCTTACAAATGCCCATTTCCCATTCTCATAAGTGCCCCTTTTCATTCTTGGTGAGTGCCTCTTTTGTGAGGTGTAAGAAGTGCCCCATTTTCACCTCTGATAATTACCCTTTGCACTTTGACACGTGCTCCTTTTCTTTTCTAATCAGGGTCTTATCCCTTTCGATAAGTGTCCCCTATTCCTCTCATCATCAAACGCGCCCCTAATTTCACGCAACTAAGAGCAATTTACCCCAAAGCTCGCTCGCATTTATAGATGATACAATTATGTTATTTTCAAAGGTCTTTTCAGTCTTCCGTTACGAAAATGTGCTTAAACCCCATCAGGATTTATTTTTTCCTCTTTATACGATGTAATTTTTCGCACTGCGCAATCTCACAAATCTTAAAATATTGAAATGATTTTTCAGACCATCACACCCAACTGCAAAGAATAATGCCTAAAGACCCCATCCGAGGCCAAAATGAAATGGACAGATTATATATCCACGGAGAGCTTGTTATTCATTAAAGTGACTCAGTAACATTGTTGAAGGTTGATTAAAAAATTGCTTGATTTTTGTATAAAATGTTACTTATTATATTCCTTCTACTATACTAACCCTCTGACATGCCACAAATCCTGAAAAAATTCTCAAACCACAAAGATATCTATGGTTTTTCTCGAAGGCGTCACTGTGAAACACCCTCTAACAGTGATTAACAGTAAATTCTCCCAACCATTTCTGAATTTTCCAAACCGTTTTCCATGAAAAAGGACATAAAACAGGCTATTAAAAATCTGTCAACACGTAAATGTCTGGAATGGTATGTAGAGCCAATTTATTGCTTTGTGATGATTTACATTCACCTTAAATGTAATTAAATTGCAATAATATAGGGCCTAAAATAAAACTTGTTGTATTGCCCTTTGTGACCGACCCAAAAATCTGAAAATCTACGGTCGGCACATGAAAAAAGTTTTTTTTTAACCGTTTTTTCTTTAAATATTTTTTTATTAATGAATACAAATATATATATTTTTTGTTTGTTTAAATGAGATATAAATGCAGGAAATCAAATTATTCCATAATTCTCACTTGTAC